TGCTAATAACTCGAAAATGGAGCCTCAACCAATATTTTGGCAAAGGAAAAAGTTGTTCAGAATCGCCCCACCTACCACCCCTTTTCGGGTCCTACACTAATTGCGGGACACCCTGTATATACTGATTACCGACTGTCGAATTTGATAGATATGGTAATAGATACCTAATGTACTGTCGATAATTGGCAACTACGGTCGATAATTACTATTCTAATCGATGGATAGAAGATTGTCGCGATGATGCCGGTAGAAAGAAAAAAAAGGTTTCCCCAGAGACGTTACACATGTACTGAATGTATTAAATAATGCGCAATTAAAGAGGTACATGCAAACCTTTTTTGACCATTTTATAGTTTTTCTGTATATAGGGTAATAACTCAAATATTGGTCTGCCCGATCCACCCCCTTCATATATTTGTTATAGTCTAATACACTTTCAGGTTTTCTTATTGTGTGATTGGTTTTTCTACATTTACTTTGAGTGTCAGTCAAAGTCGCATTATGTATTGTAGAGATCATTCGTATCATTTTAGTTTTCGAAGCTCTCCATAGCTGTGCGAGTACTTCACCTTTCCGTTGATGACAAGCTTCAAATACATTGACCTTTGCGCGCTTTAATTTTTCCAGAAATCCTCTATTTTGCCGTATTGTTCCACAAACACGAATTTTCTTTTTAAGTAAATTCTCCGCAAGTTCTACACTGTTGTAATAATTGTCCATGTACAGGTGATGCCACTTTCCATAAGAAAGTGTCAGTAGTTCCATCACTGTTTTTGCTAAAGGCTGTCCAGCGCCGCAATATATCTTGAATGTGGAAATGTATCCCGTAGTAGAATCACACAGCATCCGAATGAGTATGCCATATTTTGTAATTTTCGACGGATTATAAACTTTAAAATTTAATCGTCCACGCCACGGTATCATTCCTTCATCAATTGAAATGTTTTGGCTAAGATTAAAATTTTCTTTAAACTTTTTGGAAAAATAATCAGTTATGAATTGCATTTTGAAAAGCCGGTCGGCATTATCCGGTTTATTGTTGTTGTCGGAAAAATGTAAAAATGATAATATTTGTCTAAATCGGTTGCGGGACATTGTTTTGCGAAATATTGGAGTGTCTATCAACGGATTCTTTGACCAATAATCATCGATTCTTGCTTTCTTTACAATTCCCATAACAATAGTAAGCCCAAATCATTTTCTAAGTTCGGGTGCCGTAAGGTCGACAAATTTGGCATTTTTTTTATCCACTTTCCTTCTACTGCAATTTTGGCTGTAGTACTTGTTGGTTTTGTTGCTAATATATTCGAACAGGTCGTTACCAATATATAATTCTATGATATCTTCGATGTTCTTTGTATCTTTGGGAAATATGTTTGGACCCGGAGACCCTTCAAATTTATTATTGGTCCTCGGTGAATCAAAGTCTGACCATTGTGCACTGTCTTCTTCGTCTGATTCATCCGAATCACTTGCCAACTGTAGCGTTCGCTGAATTCTTCTTGTAAGAATTTCGCTATCTTCAGACGATTCTGCTCCACTTTCATTTTCTTTATATTTAATGTCTTTTTCCCAATCAGCCAACTCGTCCGGAACGTCAGACAAGATGTCAGCACATTCATCGTAAATAATTGTATCGTCTCTTTCGTCTGCCATGATAAAAGGACACAAGTACTTATAAATATGAAAAACTTATTGCTGCGTGTAACTTATTGTTACCGAAACAAAACACCAACAGAATGCAAACACTACGAACGTTTTGTCGCCAGCCACTAAGCGATACTATGCGCACAACACCACTGTGGTGTTGCCGGCCGTTGACCTTTATTTCGCGCACGACAACACTGTGGTGTTGCCGGCCGTTCACCAGCATTTCGCGCACGACACCACTGTGGTCTCACCAAACGTTTCTTTAACCCTTTCGCTGCGAACAGCGCCTTTTGGCGCTCGGCTATAGACGCTTTCTCTCAGCGAACAGCGCCTTCTGGCGCTCGACTATGGACACTTCCCTTGAACGAACAGCGCCTTTTGGCGCCGTGCATTTGTTTTACATTTTGATATTAATAATTGCATCATCATGGTCATTAATTCATTTGTTTTCGCCGCGATAGCTGCATACGTTTCTTGTGCGGATATTTTTTCATATAACCGAATACAATTATTCATAAATTTTTTCCCTATCATGGGTAAATGGACAAATATAATCTGTGACGATACAGAAGAATCATCGGATTCTGAACTCTCTGCAGTTTTTGGAGAAATTGGATACGAAGGTAAAATTCAAAACTCATGCTGCAGGAGACGCGTATTATCAAGTAGCTCGGAATCATA